GAGATGAATGCGTGTAATTTATTTATTAAATATGATATGCACAAATATTTGCAGTACACATTTTACATATTCTTCGATGTTTGAAAATTGTTTTATTTGCATAATTATATACATATATAATTTTTTGCAAGAGTGGTATACATATAGTAACAATATCAACCACAAAACATACAGGATCTTTAAAAGGGTAATTGGTCGCAAGTTTTTTTAAAAATTGTCAAGGCTTGTTATCTTTTGGAATGCAAGTAATAATTCTTTGCTTCTGAGTCACTGACAATTCTTCATTTCTAAAGCCATAATTAATTGCTCTCAAAACAAAACGACCAATTTTTGACCAGAAAACTTTATAAAGATCGGCTGTAAAGACTTTTGTCATTTTTCATATTTTTTAAAGTGTTTGACAGTTCAGAGAAAGATAGGAGTCCTTCTAGACTATTTGATTTCTGAAAGAGTTATCCCTCTTGAACATTGAAAAAAAGAGAAATTTTCAGTTTTTGTTCAATTCTCCTCAACAGTTGTACACTTTCAACTCAAATTTAAAGTATACATAGGAATGAGCAGACCAAGGGCGAATTTGGTCATGGTCCGATGATTTCGGACATAGTTACTGCTCTTGAACGCTGACAACAATTTGAAATTTTCAGTTTTTGCACTCTTACTTCTGTGGAAATGTATGTAGTTATTATCTCGGCTACAAATATACAATATGCCATTTGAAAAAGGCATTGAATGGTTTCATGGCTTTGAACTTTGTATTAACATGGTTTGTGTTAACATTGAATAGTTTAATGCTTCTGAGGGATCACTTTGTTTCCAGATTGTGAACTTAGAATAAAAAAAAAATGTGCAAACAAATTTGGAACTTTATAGTTTTTAAAATAACATTTGATTTGAAATTTTGTCTGCATGGCAGAGCAAACGTGGCGTGACGACACATTTCTAGTTGTTATCAATATAAACTTATTGTTCACATACACGAAACAACAATTATATTTTTTAAGACTGGGGGACAGATGTCTTAATACGAGCATTGACACTATTTTGGTAGAAAAATTGAAGTTGTTTAAAGATTTGATTATGAAAATGTTTATTTAACCAGCAAATAAATTATCTATGTACAAAATGGCAGAGCACATGTCTTTAAACGCAAGAAGAGATGATATTGATAATACTTTTATTTGGTGTGGTGATTTTAATCTAGTACATGATATAGAATTAGATTATGATAACCATAAATCTATAAATAATAACAAAAATTCTAGATCTGTATTGTTGAATTACATTGATCAAAAAAGTCTCTTTGATCCATTTCGGGAATTAAATGGTAATTGCCATAAGGTTACATGGCGACGCACAAATCCAATTCAGCAAGCTAGATTAGATTTTTTCCTTATTACTGAAGATTTATTACCTCATGTTAGAGGTTGTGATATAGATGTAAGCTATAGATCTGACCATTCTATCATAATTCTTAAAATTGTTTTTACAAAATATTGTACATGGGAAAGGTTTATGGAAATTTAATAATTCTTTATTATGTGACTTAGAATATTTAAATTGTATTAAGACGTAGTTTGTTGTAAACGAATGTATTCCATTCCGAAGAACAGAAATAAAGACTTGAAAGAATTGGCTCAACTCTTCAAACCGGATTTGCAAATGCCACATGACGCTGATACGGCCTTGCAATTGAGCTCAATGAATTGGTAAGGTTAGCAGATAACATATGACTAAAACGACAATGCATCACGACTACACATCTGTAAATAGATGAATAGCTACTACAAATGTATGTAATTATGTATTTAACTGTGGTGAAATATTTCGTCACCGCTTTGTACTTTCTACATGGATGAACGATTTTAAATAATTTAGCACAAATGTTCACCATCATAAGGTGTGTCCCAGTCTAAAACACATTTCTGCACTGAAGGTCAAAGTCACACTTAGAGGTTAAACGTCCACTTCTATATGAATGAGTGGGTTTTGAAATAACTTGGCACAAATGTCTTACATTACGAGACGATGTGTCGCAATATACAGCCACATCCCTGAGTTAAAGGTCAAGGTCACTTGGACATATTGGTTTGTTAACTAAATTATTTTTTAAGCCAAAGCCTTGATGTTTTTAAACAATTTATAATTGGACATAAACCTTCGTCTGAAATGTCAACTCTTTCAGTTCCCTCTTTCGATGGCTATGGTCTCAGAGGACAATTGTTAAATTGTGGTGCATTTTTTGTGTCATGTTGGCACGGCATCATGGGCAGTAGTATGTTTCACATTGGCATGCATCTTCCTCAACGAGGTACATGCAAAGGTGTTTTTGGTTGCAAAGAAAAAGACCTCAAAGATTAACCAATTGTTTCATTTTTTGAAACTATAAAAGGAACACATAAACAAAGCAAGGGGTGTTCGAAACTGACAAAGATAGGGCAATTTCTGTACTCGTACCACCGCCACCACATTTAAATTAAACCAACGCAATCTATAACAAATCGTATAAGCCCATTTCTATTTCTGTTCATCTATATCAGTAATTGTCAGTATCTGTAAAGTATATAAAGTCAGGATAATAAGTGTAAATAACAATAACATATCTAGTACTACATGTATATGTTCTAGCATAGTGTAAAGAAAAATCTAACATGAATTGTTCATGATTTTTTTGTTCCAATCTTTAACTCGCATGTCAAGGGTTTGCTTTGGATAATACATAACAAAATTTATTTAAGTCTGATAGTGCAGAAAAGTTGGAGCTTACAGACACTCTCTAAAACTGAACGAAAGTTGATACAAAGCGTACAAACGGCAGCCATTTCATTTCTGGTTAAAGGTTGGTTAAAATTTAACCCACTTCCGACACATCCAGAAATTGACACTGGTTAAATCTAACCAAATGTTTCTTTAATCGGTTAACCAAAGTTTAACTCAAAAATTAACTTAACCACGGATTTAACCAAGTGGTTAAAGTTACCGACGTTTATGCAAATGGGTGCTTGCGCATACCTTTCTAAGATATGATATTATATATAATATGTAGTTTATTTGTTCTTACAATGTACATTAAAGGTGTTCATTAAAATTGTTAAATTAGAAATCCAGAAAATTATGGTTCTTCTGTATTATACCGAAGTCTCTTTTTCTTTAAAATTTTGTTAGTGGTTTTAACAATTTTATGTATTCGGAAAAGTTCGGATTGGGGTAAGAAAAACGGTCAGATTAAAATTTATATACTAGTATTACAGGATTAAATCATGACAGAATGTTAGTGGTAGCTTTACAAATCTTTGGTCGAATTTTGAGATAACTAATCTACATTTAAAACTGTAAAAGTGGTAAAACATAGTTCTACTATTCTCGTATAATCTATTTAGAGCGTTCTCAAATACAGTAATACACACAAAATACTTTTAATTGCAGCTAATCACAGACATCTTTCTTGTGATTATAAGGTTTCAACGCACCTGCTCCAAATTAGAGGTAGTCTGTTGAAACTGATCACAGTATGATGATTTGTATCTGCTTTTATCACTTTATTCAATTGTCCTTCTGCATCCAAGCTTTCATCAAAAAGCAATTACAGTTTTTCCTTTACATTCTTATTCAAGCTCGTCCGATTTAACCATGCTATTCAAATTATATTGTAATGTCTCTTTAGAAACATCTTTCTGTCAATATTCATTCATTTTGGATGCAATGTTCCCTATAATGTCTCTACTATGTGCTAACAATGCTCTTCTGCTGCCTGTATAATTGTATCTATATCCAGTTTCTCATTTCTTGACTTATTTTTATTAGAATCATACATCTTTTTAAACGTTAAATTCTACTCAGATTCAGTCAGATTTAGATGTCATAGTAAAGTCATCTTATGGGATATTTTTCTCTTGTCAAGAGAAAATCAAATAATGTTTGTGCCATGTTTATAAAGGAATCTTGCGAAGGCAAGCACGAGCTCCGAAGATAAAATAAGATGGCATGGGGGATAAAGGTTTTTGAAGAAAGCTGTGAAAATGTACAATATAATTCTGTCTTGCACTGTTTTTCTGTTAACGCCTCTTTTTTCTACAGTATACATATCCAGCAAACCGTTAATAAATGGGTAGCTACACTTAACTCTTCATTCGTTCGAAAAGAGTGAAAAATTTAAGATTGCACGATACATCTTGTTGTGTTTATATCCTTTAATACTTTATTTTCAATTTGGACAATGGGCTGGAGGTAAGTTATATATTTCTGTTTACAATTTTTATAATGAATAACATATACTTTGAAAGAGGAAAAATATTATATTTCCCTATGTCGGTCTTGTACAATGCTATTGAAACTTCGAGAAAAATACGACTTCAAAATGGAATAATAGAAACTTTTAAGTTAGTTTAAACTTAAATAATATCAGTTCCGGACTCAATTATCTATGTTAAAGTATTGATAGTGATTGATTATATAAAGCTCGTGTTGATTTTTCTACAAATAAGTAGTTAAAGAAATTGAATTCAAAACTTAGTCTTCTAAAGGAAACTGGATTTTCCTTCGCGGCAAGCGCAGACCATAATCAACTATAACTTTCTTGCAAATATACCAATGCTTAATAAAAGAAATAAAATAACGAAATGCACTTTGCTCGGATATAGACTTCAAATATACCTGTCATCGAAAATCACAAAGTGCAACCTTTGATATATTAACCTTTTGTAAACCTTATTGAAGAAATATGAACTGTTCTATTTTTTTACGCCATGGTCTTCCAAGTACATGTAACTGCAAATTTTCAAAACATGTCACAGTGAAATGTGAAAAAAAAATTTTGATTATTTATCCACAATTAATAGAATTCCTACGTATCATTGATTCAGCAAACATAAGGGCTTAGTAGCTGGTCAAATGCGGAGAATTTTTTTATCATGTGAGTTATCCCGGAAAGCCGTTGAGATGGACCTGCCATCGAGTTATGATCATATATATATGTACAATATGCGTAAAATCCAAACCAAACAAACAAACAAACTAGTCTTCATTACTCATTTTATCTGTATTGCACATTGATATGTGTTGACAAATATGCACACTGAATATATATATTTGACGCACGACGCGAGAAAGCCGGTGTCGCGTAATCATCGCCTGTGTGGTAATATTACCACACGTGTGATTAATACGCTGCGGCGTAATAATCACACGGTTAAGGGTAGTGCCGTTAGAATCACACGTACGGTTTTATATTTACTCCAGAATAGTTAAATTATACGTTTACCATTTTATTTCAAAATGAATTTTGTATCAAATGCTGTAACTTTTGTGGGAATTCTTAAATTTTCTAACAGATGGAAGTGTTTTGAAAACCATATATTGCAGCGATTTTTAATCTGACAACCTTCCTTAAGAATAATTATAATAATTTTGTTTTGATAAATAATTTTGAAAAAGAACCGGTTGAGCCGAGTGATGCTCCCCGAATAGCTTAAAATGAACCTATTTAAATTCTTAAAAAATAATGAACAATAGTTTTTTTGTATAAACATAATTATCATACTTCTACTCAAACGTATAAAAATCTAAATTCTAAAAACAAATTTTGCATTTTCTACATTCATGACGAAATATTTTAGGATATGATGTCAAACAAGTATGTTTTGTTTATGTTGAATCAAGAGGTATTCCGTTTATGTATGCGCTCATATTTGAACGTCTTTTTCTTCTCCTTTCTTTTTTATTTTCTTTCCTTTGTCGGCATATTTGAATAATTTCCTCTGTTGGCGCTACGATCACAACCACTGTCGCCATTGAAAAACAAAATATTTGCAAAATAAGCGTCCAAATTTCAAATTGGCTCACAGTTAGCACGTGCAGACTGAGCATTACTCCTGGCACAATGCCAACAAAGAGGACAACGGTGACAGCGCCACCTACATACGCCAGAATTCGTGCCTTTTTAAACACGAAATCAAGCTGTTCCTCCGTAGGGTTATCTCCCTTCTCCAGACCGGGTATATCTTCAGTATACAGTTGTGACCAGGGGTGTAACGGATTGTCTATATCCCGTAATTTCGTCCATTCCCGTTTAACATCGTTCTTGGATTTGATATTATGCGTTCCACACGAAACCAAGAACGTTACCAGAAAACTCACTCCTGAAAATAAACGACATCATTTTTCAGCAATGTGTATAAATCATCTAAATAATTCTACAGAAGGTGTAGTATTGTGTGTTCCTTTTGCAGTATGAACCGAAATGTCAACATTTGCATGACACAGTGAAATGATGCCTGGGCAATTTATATTTTGAAACTTAGAAACGCCTTGTGTCCGAATATTTGAAACAATGTACAATGTAAAGCGCAAACGAAGTTCATAACACGCACCTGCTATGAAAATTGACTACGGGTAATAGTTAAGACGTTATTACTGGTAATAGTTAAGTAATAGAAAGAGCACCGAATCACGAGGCTATCTGATTTGTACGAGGGGCCTGGCCCCCGAGTATAAATCAGATTGCCGAGTGTTTTGGTGTTCTTTCTCTTTTGTATCATAGTCAAACATAACAACACGTTCCCTGATGCCAGAATATGAAACCCCAGAAAAAAGTAACCAATGAACGAGCATCTGAATATGATATTTCTGCCGCTTTCCCTTTCTCTGTTGCACAATAAGTAAACCCCAGCAAAAATGAGCGAATCAACGGGCATGATCTGGAATGCGGGTAACTGATACCTGCACTCCAGTTAACGCACTGTGATATTATTTATCATAGTTTGGGGACCTTTCTGTTGAAAATGTGTCAGAGTTAAATCGTATTCATATATACATGAAATATGAAAAACTGCTTTCCTTACCCATGCTTGTGGCAGCCCCACCCATTACAGAGAAGTTTTGCACGGTATTTACGAGAAAATTGTCGAGTCCTCCTTCATAAGTCGATGCCACACCTAAGGAAACACTCACACCACACACGACGCCAAACAATGCGCCTGAAACACCAGATTTCGGGAGAAAAAAAATTTTACAACATAGCCTATGAAACCAATTTAAGTATATACATGTATTATTAAGTAAAATTCTGGAAACTGGGAAGACCTCTCCCAAGCAGTAAAAACGATAATGAATGGTCAGAAAATATGATATCACTAAGATGTATACGTAGCAACATTTTGCAACTGCAGCAGCAACAACAACTGTTGTAACAGGACAAAAACAACTGCGTGGAGTCCTGGCTTACAACTGCGTGAATCCTGGCATACTAAAAGAAACCCCCGTTTAGCTACTAGTAGTACCTACCAGATATTACGCCCGCTCTAGATGTTTTACTCCAAAATATGGACAGCACTACAGGAGGAAAACATGGAAGTGTGACGATAAATCCATTCAACATTATCCAGTTCAGGTCAATCCCGCTGGATATCACCGCTAGACCTTCAAACAAGAACATAATGAATTAAACATTCTCATTCTTGAATAAGGGATATTGAGAAAACATATCAATTATTATTTTAATTGTAAATCGAAGGCTTGGTTTGATTTTCAGTCTTTTCAGTAGAGATGCAAAATTTATCACATCAATGTCATCAATAGCCAAAGTAAATTCACTGATTAGTTTTTGTATCTCATATTTGGCTTATCTTATTTAAGTATATAGTTAGCTTAACTCAACTTATAATGTTGTCAATATCGATCTAAATTTAATTATAGACTATAGTCCTGTATTGTTTAATATATTTGAGCCGCGTCACGACAAAACCAACATAATGGGTTTGCGACCAGCATGGATCCAGACCAGCCTGCGCATCTGCGCAGTCTGATCAGGATCCATGCTGTTCGCTTACCAACACTATTACAAGTAGAGAAACTGATAGCGAATAGCATGGATCCTGATCAGACTGTGCGGACGCGCAGGCTGGTCTTGATCCATGCTGGTTCCAAAGCAATTATGTTGGTTTTGTCATGACGCGGCTCATTTGTCTAGATTTTAAAAGTGAAACGCATTGGTGTAAACTATCTTTCGGGATAAGATATTTACAACCCAGCTCCCAGTGACATTATGACTATCCATTTGTATATTGTATGTGTGAAAGTCAATGTCAGTTTACATTTTGTAATAAATAATTCCTTTCAACTTCATACTGTACATTGCATGAACGGTAAATAAGTCACTTGGCCCAATGAAATTTCTGTTCATAACTAAAAATCCATCAGAATTTACCCGTAACGTTCAATCTTCAAACATAGTGAGTCAGTCTTTTTTAATATTTATGGCAGATTTAAATTCTATCCTAATCATTTTCCAGTCTTAACTGTTGGTCAGTCACCATTGTAAAAGTCAAGCTTTTTGAAATATATAGTCAATTCAGCTTAACTTGACAATGAATAAATGAGCTTAATGTCACTTTAAGTACATGTATACCATCCAGCTTACTTCAGTTTTCGAGTCTTTTTCTGACATCAATATTTAAATATATCAATATCACCATGGTTTCCATTACATATTTCAATTTTCTAGTTTATCTTATTTTCAATTTACAAATGTATTTCAATTTTAAAGCTTCATTATATTATTGGCTATCATCAAGCCTTTTGAAGTTCAGAGCTTAATTAAGTTATCAAACTTATTTGAATTATCGAACTTAGTATTGAGTTTATTATTATTCTCGAACTTATTCAGTCATTGAGCTTATCTTCAAATTAAAGCTTATCTGAATTTTTGAGCTTATCACTATTTTTAAGTTTATCTGAATTATTGAGCTTATCTCACTTTTTAAGTTTATCTGAATTATTGAGCTTATCTCTATTTTCTAAGTTTATCTGAATTATTTATCTTACCTAATGGAACGATACCTATGGTTACCCACAGAATACACCAACTTTTATAACCAAGCATCCGTTCCTGGTATTGCCGATACCTTCCATGATACTGACAACGATATTGCCTGCAATTATCATAGCTTTTTATGACATTTTGTTTTCTTTAATAATAAATATAAACAAAGTAAAGAAGTAAACATTGTATATCATACACAAATGGACCTTTGTTGAATGAAATTGCATTATATGCACTAAAACAGCCCATGTGTTTAATTAAACCGCGCAAAGCTCACTTAACACTGCTGTGTATGAATATAACATAACTGTGTCTACTTTGTTCAGTACTGAAGCGTTGGATGGATGTATCAAGAATTCTATGGTACAGTGTATGCTAAGCATTGACAGAACAGAACAGAACTTTTCTGACGATCACCAGATCACATAAAACTAAAGAAATGATATATTACCCAATATATGTAAGCCCTTCTTTTGAATTTATTTCCTCATCCGTTTTACATTCCTGACACGCGATTACATTCGGGCACGTGCAAGTTACAGACTGGTCCACAGATTTGCTTTGTTTGTTGAGTCTTTTATTACATAGGATACAGTCCTCAGCGTCGTGAGATTTTCTGAAAGTAAAAAAGTAATTTATCAGCTGTTATGGCGATAAATTTGAAGAAATAAAATTAAAATACCAGTTTGTCACAAGTTTGGAAAAAAAAAACACTTCTAGATTCCAGTATGTGTCTGAAACTTGATTTAAAATCACTGTCTTGAAAACGTTACAACGCCAAGAAACTGGAAGTGAGCAACTTATGCTACACTGCTGAGCCAAGGTAGTCTAAAATTTCTAAGCAACGGTGAAGTTTGGCCAGGTGATGTACAGTTGGGAGAATATAAACACGCCTCTATTGAAATTTTACGCATATCACGTAAATTTTTCAGAAACAAAACAACATTGAAATGAATAAAGAATAAAAAGCGTCAAGGATGTTGATTACCATAACCCGAATTATTGCTATTTTATACTTAAAAATACCACTTCTCCCGGTACGTTTTATTTAGATCTTATAAGATTTAAAAAATCAAACTAAAATTAGGAGACTTCACAAACGTGTTGTGTCAGCACGTCGTGACTCCAACCGTATCCTGTAAAGGTATATGTCTCATTTTCATAAAAGAATAGTCTTCTCGTTTCATGAAATCCTCCATGATTTTCACGATAGCTTCTACATGTTCTATGGAAAGGTATTGTTAAGTAGTAGTGGTTTATTTATAGCCGAATAAGGCCAAATCAGAAACTCCTAATACATGTAAATGATATACGTTAATTGTTCATGTGTATTTTTATTTCATATTTTGACCATATATAATACAGTATTTCACCTGAACGGGTTGATGTAGACTTGATAGATGTCGTAAACTATGATAGATGAAACGGCCATGACCTCTCCTGACCCCGTGCTCATTAAGGTCATTGCAACCATAGTTACTATAAGGACGCCGCCTACGTTGCCTAAGAAGCGCTCCGCCATGAACGGCGTTACAAGTCCTGCAAACAAAAACATGTACATGTATATTCAAATAATAGTGTGGGAAATGAACACCACTAAATATATAAAATAAAAAGATCATTGGTAAGATCTGTGACCTAATATCATATTTAGATCTATCACGGTGCATATCCATATCGGCACCCTCTTTGCGAAATCTGCTGAAAAGGTACCCTCTTTGCACATGCACAGGCCACTCTCTGCTAAAAACAAACCAGCCATGGATAACCATACAGTAAAATTTCAATATAATAAGGAAAGAAGATTCAACACGTAAAAAAGATGTATACCACGGAACACTAGAATGTTTTATCTATGTGCTGATTTGCCATGTGCCCGTTTTTCATGTACTACAAATTCACATTTAGCTACAAAAATCGACATGTCTTGCTTCGCCCATCACCTCGACATATTTTTTGGACTGAAATGAACATGTGGCTTGATTATATATGCATCATACATATACAATATGTTCATTTACATATCATCTTCGGACAAATGGCAGTACATTGTCAAAAATAAATGTAAAATTCATAAATTTCATATTTAACGATAAACGCTAATAAAAGCATATGTCGTGCATTGAGTGTACCTTTGTGTACTTTGTGTTTTTATGAATTTTACATTTGTTTCGAAGATGATATGTAAATGAACATATTAAATATGTATGATTCATATATAATCAAGCCACAGGTTCATTTCAGCCCGAAAAGTATGTCGAGGTGATGGGCGAGGTAAGACATGTCGATTTTTTTGTAGCTTATTGTGAAGTTGCAGTACATGAAAAACTGGCACATGACAAATCAGCACATAGTTAAAACATTCTAGTGTTCCGTGGTATACATCTTTTCCACGTGTCATACCTCCTTTCCATATTACAATGAATGTTTACTGGCTTGTTATCCATCGCTGGTTTGTTTTGAGCAGAGAGTGGCCCGTGCATATACAAAGAGGGTACCGTTTCAGCAGATTTCGCAAAGAGGGTACCGATATGGATATGCACCGTGTCTATATTATATTCCAGGTAAAACAGTGTCGAAATATTTGTCGAAATTTTGATAGAATCAAGTTCTGTGTTCTCTGTTGCAAATTTAACCTGGCCGCTATGGATATAAAGAATCTGTCAAGCAAGCCTACGGAAGGTCGGTCGGAAACAAAATGGTTTTTTAAATATTATTATTATTACATGTATTTTTATTATCATTATCATAATCATTATTATTATTTTTATTATTATTATTATTATTATTATTTTTATTATTATTATTATTATTATTATTATTATTATTATTATTATTATTATAATTATGTAATAGGTATATTCGTGTTAGTTCATTACTTAATTTATTGAACTTGTTGAATAAGATTATGCTATGCGAGACTGGCGTCTGACGAGTTCAATAAATCTAATATTGAGCCTACACTATAATTACGGTCATATTCAGTATTACAAGTATTAGCATTGCCAAAAATGCTTGGAGTCGCCGTTCAGCCATGAGCATAGTTCTTGCCTTATAGCTTTATTGAATGTGGTTAACACATAAAGCCAACAAAAATACTTGATTTACTCTACCATTCCGTACTAGTCAAATTATTAAAATCGATGTCTGAGAATGTTTTTTATTCATGCTTAGTACCTCCTATACTCCGCCGACTGCTCTTCTTTTCTTTTTGAAACGGACTATACCTGATATTATATTTTTGGAAAGAACATTAAAAAAACACTCTTATTTAGACTTCATTATCTGAAATGACACGAAGCAAAAATATGGATTTTGCTGTGTTTTTTTCCTGCAAGAACTTAAAGACTGGTACTGAGTTCGTACATTGATAATGGTATTTTTCAGCTGGACGAATAGGTTACCCGACAAAAAATGGCGGTTGGGCGAGTCTGTTTTTGACGTCCATTTTGTTATCATGTGATATTAAATTATTTGTTTTGATTGGCTAAAGGCAGGCGGTGTTCAGGTAGAACTGTTCAAATCTTGTAAATTGTATATATCGCCGTCCAGGAACGGCGATAATTATAGCTTACCAGCGTCTACGTCTTCCGGTGAGAGAATACTTGAAGAATTATCCAAAGACATGGAGAGATAGGCTAGACCAGCTGATGTTGATATAGAGATTGGTATGGCAAACCAAATATAGGCGGCGATCAGAAAACCCAACACCCCTTGAAGTGGCTTTGCTGCGATCCGACTCTGCCACGCAGCTGAAAATAATCAACAAAATGTGATAGTATAGACGTTTTTAGGATGAATATAGTCCACTAATAAAAAGAGATAAAAAAAAACTAGTCTCAAGAATTTGTTGCGTGAGTGAAACTTTAAATGTCGCTTCTAAGTTTTACATATGTTTTATGTACGAAAATCATGCAAAGAACATTTACGATGCAAGTTTTCTTCAAAATCATATATTGGGAGTATTTTATCAATCATCAAAATGGCAGGTTATATGGTCCAATAAAATCGGTTGTAGTAGCTTTCATTAATTAACATTTCAATATTAGGCACGTTTTCACTTCAAATGTAAGGCTAATATGAAGTACACGACGGTATGATGAACATAAAACGAGGACATTATGCAAAAAGTACGGCCTTTATCAGAAAACTCGGCTATTATGAGATTAGAGGATTTTGATTGGCCGTTCAGCTCGGCCATTATGAATCTGCTTTTATTGCCTTTGGCCTCAGTCTAATATGCCAGTCTTCAGCCAAATAACAAGACCATTATGTAAATATTTAGATATTGTAATAATACGAGAGACTCTAAACAATGGTCATATAGCAAACAACACGACCATATAACCTGAACAAACATGTATGACTACACCATTGCTGTCTTAGACTTAAATTAGAAAACCAAAAGTTAGTTCAAACATTTAGGCTACCGAAGTTATAAACGGTATGTTAAGAAAAACGGACGCGCAGCATTTTTAGAAGGGCAAGTACCGTGATAAAAGAATGCTTTTGAGTGAAAAATTATAATGGCTAATTTATGTCATTTTGAATTTTCGCTTTTATTTTCGCTTTTGGAATAAGAAAACACGAAGTTATGATAATGACTTACTTAGTGGTATCTTTGTGGTGTTTTTTTCACATTCTCAAGACAAAAAAAATGTAAGGGCGAAAAAATAAGTCAACGATACGACATATAAAAACGTGTCGTGTTTTCATTGAAAAAAGGCGAAAAAAGCAATACGGCGTAAATCAGCCATCATAGAAAATATCTATGAAACACACTTTATCATTGAAAGGAAATTACCTTGGTCACAATAAGTTAAAGAGGCGGTGACACACAGTCCCATGAATGCCCAGACAAGTCCATTCTCGGATTTGAAGGTGAAATAACTTCTTTCCGCATTGCCCTCTGGTGCAATCAGACATTCCATCTTCTCGTAGATTTTATCAATGGACCCAATACCCGAGTCATCGTTAGGTGAATATAAAATGTTTACATTTAATGCTATAAGTATACCAAATATTAGCACGGCGTTAAAGTACGACACGTAGAAAGTTGTACCTAAACCACCTGTAAAATAAAATTGACTTCATTAATTGTTATTTTCACAATTACATAAGGGTTATACATGTATATACAAAATAGAAAAGTTACACCGTATTTTGAAAGAAAAATACATTTAATTACAAAAAAGCAATTGAAAAAAAATGTTGGCTATTTTAAGCAACTAACAAAAAGGTATAAATAATACCATGATGATAGAACGGCGTAATGACAGCCTTGCGATTCATATACTATTATAAGTTATTGTTGAAGTTGAGTTTTAGTTCGTTGTAACCGTGGCAAAAATGCCTGAAAAGTGGCACAAATGCCAGGTCTGTCAGGCATAATGTGAGTGCCTACAGTAACAATCGCTCTTCTCTCTTTCAGTATTATTTTAAACCTTACCTGTCTTAGTTATAGTAATGGATTTGCTGAGGTGTATTTGTGGATTTGCTGAGGTATAGTAATGGATTTGCTGAGGTATAGTAATGGATTTGCTGAGGTGTAGTAATGGATTTGCTGAGTTATAGTAATGGATTTGCTGAGTTATAAGAATGGATTTGCTGAGGTATAGTAATGGATTTGCTGAGGTATAAGAATGGATTTGCTGAGGTATAAGAATGGATTTGCTGAAGTATAGTAATGGATTTGCTGAGGTATAGTAATGGATTTGCTGAAGTATATTTATGGATTTGCTGAAGTATAGTAATGGATTTGCTGAGGTATAGTAATGGATTTGCAATAGTATAGTAATGGATTTGCTGAGTTATTGCAATGGATTAACTGAGTTATAAGAATGGATTTGCTTAAGTATAGTAATGGATTCATGTGTAGTAATGAATTTGCTTAGTTATTCGAATGGAGTTGCTGTGTTATAGTAATTTATTTGCTGAGTTATAGTAATGGATTAACTAAGTTATAGTGATGGATTTGCTGAGGTATACCTATGCATTTGCTGAGGTGTTGTAATTTGTAATGAGTAATTTGCTGAGTTATAAAAATGGATTTGCTGTGTTATAGTTATGGATCTGTTAAGGTATAGTAATAGATTTGCTGAGGGATAGTTATGGATTTGTCGAGTTATTGGAATGGGTTTGCTGGGGTATAGTAATGAATTTGCTGTGTGACAATAATGAATTTGCTGAGTTATATAGTAATGGATTTGATGAGGTATAGAAATGGATTTGCTGTGTTATAGCAATGGATTCGCTGAGTCATAGTTACTGTAATGGATTAACTGAGTTATAGTTATGGATTTGCTGAAGTATAGTAATGGATTTGCTGAAGTATAGTAATGGATTTGCTGAAGTATAGTAATAGATTAGCTGAGGTATATTAATAGATTTGCTGTGTTATAGCAATGGATTCGCTGAGTTATAGTTACTGTAATGGATTAACTGAGTTATAGTTATGGATTTGCTGAAGTATAGTAATGGATTTGCAAGGTATAGTAATGGATTTGCTGAGGTATAGTAATGGATTTGCTGAGTTATTTTAATGGATTTGCTGAGTTATTTTAATGGATTGCTGAGGTATAATAATGCATTTCCTGAGTTAATGTAATGGATTGCTGAGGTAAAGTAATGGCTTTGCTGAGATATAGTAATGGATTTTCTGTGTTATAGCAATGGGCTTGCTAAGGTATAGTAATGAATTTGCAGAGTGTTAGTAATGAATTTGCTGAGTTACAATAATGAATTTGCTGTGTTATAGTAATAGATTTGCCCAGCTTTTGATAAAGTTATTCGGTTGAAGGGATTTTAATAAGACTATATGGTAATGCACCCTGACCTGACTCTATACTAGTGGCAGTGACTACTCACTTTCAGTTCAAGTCGGCTAAGGATCAATAAATGTTCGTTATAAGCAGATAAGCATTAACAATACCACATACCTATAAACGAATATGAGCCAAACAGGACTGCAATAATCATGACACAGAACTCGTCGGATGCGCCGACGGTGTATGACTGGATTGTAGTGACGCCGGCGACGAGAAGAGTTGATATCACACAAAGATTAACGAGCAACGCTAAGATGACGAATATCACGTGGGCAGGCTTCCCATATCGTGCTTTCATTATCTGCAAACAAGATATCATTTATTTATAATGCAAAAAGTTGTGTGGTCTGTGGGTTTTAAAGTGCTTAATACAGCTATAAGTTGTACCAACCAATAACCTGTAAAGTACTAAATTCAGCTTGGTTCTTCCTGCCAATTTCAAAGATCTCTAAGACAACGTCAGTATTCGTTGATTGTAGACATCTTTGCTTTTTTTCTCTAAGTAGTTAAGTAAATAACAAGGAAGTAAGAAAAACAAAATCTTGGAAAACAGAGACCATTTGTCTGCAAAAAATCAATTTTCCTCGTAATAATTCTACTACTGCACTAGACTACATTTCTTTGTACATATTTTGGAAGTCATAAAAGACAAAGAAGTAAGCGAACCCCGTGACCGTGTAGTTAAAATCGGTAACTGCGACTTTGTATTGAACCCTTACCGGTTTGGATTCAAATCAGGCAATGGATTGCTGAACCATTCAAGTGAGGAATCCATCTAGCTTACTGAATGTCGGTGATTTTACCCAGGTGAACGGATTTGTAACTTAGGTCGGGCTGGAAAGTCGCCAAATTAATAGTACTTATGGCTTACACTTCAACCCAAAAAATGAAGATATTTAAAACATATAAAAACAATTTCAAGTTTTTTCTTTTGTGTACCCGCCTGCTAGCCTGAAAGAACGCAAAGGGACTTCTGGACTCTTTGATCACTGTTCAAGATGTAGACGAATCATAGTCGGTATATCTCTAAAACATATGTTAAAAAATCGCGGGGACAATTAAATATTACCTGTAGGTAGGTTTTTGCCCCGGGAGCCCGTGTTTTCAGATAGACGGACACTATCGGAAACAGGGCAATATTTAAAGCTGCGCCAACTGTATACCATAAGGGACCGGATATTCCGCTCTGAAATAATAAATGAAACAAATATTTACGAAACGAAAAAAAAGGCTTATGTCAGAAAATACTAAGTTATTTGCTGCTAAAATTTTTTAAGTTGATATTCCATAGTTGATAATAAAGCAATAAAAACAAAAATTACATAATTATTCGAGGAAATCGTTTTTACATTTTTATTACAGTGTCCTGCAGTCGGAATTTTCGACATTTAATTATTTATTTCTATAACTGATTTGGATCACAAAATTTGAAGAAAATAACTTGCTGCAAAAGAGTTTATTATTCTTTGATACATACTTTAACAGTAATAGTAGAACTTTGTAGAATATCGCCTGGCCAAAGAAATTGAGATGCCACAGTAACAGCTGTCAAACTAGTGCTGACCCGCCCACCAGCGTCGAAGGCGGTGTCAACGTTGTTGACGTCATGGTACACGTGTTTTCTAACCAATTGATGAAGCAATGCCAGAATGACAGACACGCCCGCAAAACCAAGAAGAAGCAAGAGACCGGTTTCATATTTCTCGAGAACTGGTTGTATGGAACTGTAATGTACAAAATATAAATCATGCTATCAGTTCAATTAATTTTAATTTTGTTTTTCCTTTTCTATATTATCTTTGTTTATTTACTGATTTTTTTTCGGGAGGGGGTGATTTTTTTCCCTTTTTTCTGGTTGATGATGAGTCTGAAAAGCACACTACCGTTACGTCATATGGGTTATTGCAGGTTTTCCCGGGATTGCCCTAAGTCATGTAATGTCTGTGTTCTATATATTTAGTCTCAAGCGACAGATTATTATAATATGATATATAGACATAATTTTATTTCGATCATATAAGGCTTATAAGCCCATGATAATAGCATACTACAAGACAACAAACAGTGTACATGTCGATATTACTAAACATAAATATGGATTACTTAACATAGCATAATGATAATATCGAAGAAGGTCATAACCACAAACTCTTCAAGTATAAATGTATTGGTTTAAACATATTTCATTTAGAATTTTTGTACATGTGTAAATAACAATATAAAAATAATTATAGATTTTAGCCGAAAGCAGAAGCTTATAGAAGCCATTGTCTATTAATATTATACCTCATTTGCATACGCCCTTCTATATTTAATAAAATTGCATACAGACCGGCTACCTAGTCCATAATTTCATATCAAATATAGAAGGGCGTATGCAAATGAGGTATGGTATTTTATTTTGTAGTTAAATTTTTTTTTACTGAATTTATTGTTATGTTTCACATAAATTAATTACATGTTGATCAAAAATCATGGTTTGTCTTTTATTCAATTATATTTTTTTTTTATTTATACAGTTTGTAAAATTCTTAAAGTCCGGTTGTTGTTTTTTTTTTTGTTGTTGTTGTTGTTTTTGTGTGTGTGTGTGTTTTTTTTTTTTTTAGGGGGGGGGGGGGTGTTGTTATAGTAAAAATGACATCAACTAAAGGGATGAAAGGATTAAGATTCGGTATATTATAACAAATAAAACATGGCCTTTCGGGCAAAATGCAAGTTTACGGACTGGTTGATCAGACCTCGGAAGGTATATGTACCTCAGCTGCGCATCGGGCCATATACCTTCCTCAGTCTGACCATTAAGTCCATAAACTTGCATATTGACCTCAAGGCCATGTTTTATTTGTTTAATACATTAATATTGTGTTTAATTTACATATCATTTGATATATATGTAAACCAAAACATATACTTGATAAATGTTTAAAGTTTTAAACATATGTGAAATTACATATATTTAACAAATAATTTATTAAATATATACATGTACTGGATATATATACATGTATATATATATATACATATATATCAACGATTCTTGCCATATTTTAAGCTGAAAAATATAGAATACATTTCATGCATATTTAATTCATTTGTAATGGTCATAACATAAACGTATCGGCCTTACCCAAAATAAAACTGCAAGACTGATGATATGTTATTAATAAACAGTCATGTTCAAAATGACTTATTATCATTAATATTTTCGTTTTACATATACGTTTTTTAAAAGAGGAGATATTTCTACAATGAAATATGAGCCGTGTCACGACAAAACCAACATAGTGCGTTTGCGACCAGCATGGATCCAGACCAGCTGCGCATCCAGGATCCATGCTGTTCGCTTACCAACTCTATTACAAGTAGAGCAACTGATACCGAACATCATGGATCCTGATCAGACTGCGCTGATGCGCAGGCTGGTCTGGGTCCATGCTGGTCGCAAACGCACTATGTTGGTTTTGTCATGATGCGGCTCGTATGCATACCACTTAATGTATGATTGACATTCAAAGAGAAACTTCTTTTAAATGTTTAGTTAACCATTCATTCATTATGTAAACTAACCTACTTTTGCATATAATATTAAGCACGATAAAATATTTTACTTTTGAAGATAGTAAATTATCTTGTTAATTTACTTATTTCTAATTCGTCTTCGCAAACCTATTAAGAATACACCTTATGCATTTACTTGGTCATTGCAAGCTACGCATATATTAACTAGAAAAAAGATTGTGTTTAAACAAAAACTCACCCAAAATTTCCTCTGGCAGTGATATTAGCCAGTTCCACTTTGATACATCCGGATATATTTGGTGACAAGGTGGTAACAATATTGTTTGTAGTAGTCGCCATATTAGTGCAATGAGTTCGATTTTTACCACAATATATTGTAATAAAACTTTGAAATTAAATAGATTTAACACGAGATTTATGCACTGTCATCGAACCATATCGGGCATGTAAACAGGTTGATTTTAATTTTCAGCCGATGTCATTAAAACTGTTTGTATCCAATACACGAAAAATACAGTAAATGCAGTAAAATTATCACACTATCCTCTTTAGTTTAAATGTAAAGATTGCGATTAAAGTTTTAATACCATCTTCTCGCAATGTATCACTTTAATCATTTAATAACTACTTAACAACCCCCGTATCACTCTTCCGAGATTAACTAATAGTAATATATCACGATGTTACAGTTGTATACAACATAGATAATGAATGTAGAGTTTAAAGTATGTCAAATAAACATATATGTTTTTCAGTAAATTATTATAATTAATCAGCACATATGTGTTTTAAATACACTATTTAAATTATACTACGCTTCCTGCCATGTTAAAAACGACCCCACACTATGCCTGAAATAAAATCTAAATAAATTTAAAAAACAAGCAAAACTGTACTTTATAGTAAATGTATATATTTTTCTTACACATTCTTTAAACATTCTTCCATAAAATGATTTATATAGTTAAAGTATGATTTGTTCAATATTAATATAATTATAAACCTTATATAAGAGAAACTAAGAGAAACTGATAGCAGACACGGTACGAGCTGTAATTTGATATTCATCTGGGGGGACATACCAGTATTCATGAATAGTGGGAAAAAAATCAAGAAAAAAATAATATTAACGCCCTTCCGTTTTACTGTACGTCGTCAAAGTGCGTTAGATCTGCAATTTATAATGGTCTAAATTAGCGAAAATTCAAGTTTCGCGCATAATTCTCTCAAACGAAGATGCATGCGTATTGGTGAACTGCAGAAGCTGCACCCTTATCAAATTGTGGGCAAAATCACGGACTGTAATCGAAGTTCGTGGCAAAATTGACAAAGTACTAAGTTTTGAATGATACAAAAGAAAACAATCTCCGTTCTTAAACATGTCCTTTAAGAACATTTCCAGTCCTTATAGCAGGTCAAAAGCGTTTGTCGGTTAAAATCTACACCATTCGTGCTATTTCAGATAATAATTTTAATAAATCTGCAATTTTGATTATATTCCATTCAAAAGATTACCGTCTCAATCTGAAGTAAGAGAATGTAATTTAAACGTAACAGTAAAAACCTAATACAAGTTTTCTATCCTCCTTATGATCAAGTAATGATGTTGATAACAAATTTCGTTGTGCAGTTTTTAATTTAAAACCGATCCATTTAATGATTCGAAAGAATTGAGCACTTGTGATTGAAGGAGGATACGGTAATATGAGGCAAGGCGTTGGCAAAACGTGCAACATTACTTAAAATCAACAGTTTGGTTAATGTGTTGGAAGACAAAGGGTATTATAAAAAATATTATCAATTTTCTAGTGTAAGATTTTTTCCAGAAATGCTGTGTTAAATTAATCTTACAAAGCAGCATAACCCTTGTATGTACGTCCCACTCCCCATCCCGTTATAATGTTCATGTTTTTCAAAGATCGCCCGTAATTTTTACAAACAAAATTTACTACAAATGCATGCCTGTTTATGCGTGTATTTCGGAAGTTACATGTGTATTTTACTGTCAAACGTTTATGCGGATCATTTCCGGTGTTGGTTCTTTTAAAATTTGTGAAATAAAATTACGTTATTATTTCATGTAATGATAATTAATAAACGAATATAAATATTTTTAATCAAGCTTGCAGGTAAAACAAAAATGAAAAAGATTTTTTTTCTAACCAGCTCTTTTTCTTTTCTTTTCATAAAGATATTTCGCTCCAATGCCCCTTTTATCCGATTGAAAACTATAATAAGATTCCCATTTAATTAAATTGTAACAAGTCGGTGCACTTTTTTTTACTCCGGTATGCAAACACTTTTCAAATTCAAAACTTTCACAATTAAATTTTGTTGATTTTACGAGTGTACTTTTTCATATCCAAGCGTTTTCTAATCACACTGGTGGTCGCTAACCGACTGACAGATAGTGTAGGTGGGAAATAAATCTTTTCGGATGTTGCAGATTTGATTAATCGGCATAAGACAGCTAATTTTTCAAACTGAAATATGAAATCCATATAAAAACACACGCACAGATAGATTAAAAAGTTTATCAACCAAAAAATTGCATAAACTATTTGGGCCGCGTCACGACAAAACCAGCATAATGGGTTTGCGACCAGCATGGATCCAGACCAGCCTGCGCATCCTCGCAGTCTGATCAGGGTCCATGCTGTTCGCTATCAGTTTCTCTACTTGTAAAAGGGTTTGTAAGCGAACAGCATGGATCCTGATCAGACTGCGCGGATGCGCAGGCTGATCTGGATCCATGCTGGTCGCAAACGCACTATGTTGGTTTTGTCGTGACGCGGCTCATTTCACATTTCAAAGTTTTTCTACTCAGTTATTAGTTGAAAGTCACTTGTAATCTCGCAACATCAGAATTACGATGGAAAATGAATCAATTCAGCGAATTTACAAAATTCTTGAAATTTTCCTCACTATTTTTTCTTTTTTGATACATGTATCAAGGATATTTATTTCAGTTATAAATGTGAAAATCCTACGCGTAGAAAATAACACGATAAAATCATCATCTTAATTTCAAATGATAGATAAAACATTTCAACTTCATGTGGGTATCTAAATTTGAATAAATCAAGTTGTGGATGTAAATGTAATAAATCTGAAAATCATGGGGGAACTGACCACGCGTATTAGGCCTTTAACCTTAATTTAAATCAGTCAATTTCAGCGTTCTTAAAGGCACACCCTAACATACTATTAGACAAATTAAATATACTCTCATTTAAGCTTTTTGCCTTTCTGATGCAAAACACTGCATGCATTTCTTTTCATATTTGCTGTCATCTTCGCCTAATAAGGCAACAATTACATCAACAAAATATTTATTTTATTGCCATGTTGCAATCATCCTCAGTCGTGGTCGTGGTTCTTGTTCTTGATGATTGTGATTTTTATTATTATTATTATTATTATTATTATTATTATTATTATTATATTATTATTATTATTATTATTATTATTATTATTATTATCATTGTCATTATTATTATTATTATTATTATTATTATTATTATTATTATTGTTGTTGTTGCTGCTGCTGCTGCTGCTACTGCTACAACAATGCTGCTACAGCTACAACAACAACAACAACAACAACAACAACAAATGTACAATAATAATAATTTGAATAATAATGTTGCTGTTGTAGCTGCTGTTGTTGTTATTTTATTATTTTATAATTCTTTTCAGTTTGTTTAATTTCAAAGCATAATAAACACAATAGTATTAAATATTCAAATGAAAAATGCAATGGGAGGTTTATATTTGTTCATATAAGAGAATCGGGCACAATAAGATTTATTGTGAATCTTTCCCGTCTAGCATTCTTGTAATAAACGTTGTAAACTAATTGAGCCGCGTCATGACAAAACCAACATAATGGGTTTGCGACCAGCATGGATCCAGACCAGCCTGCGCATCCGCGCAGTCTGATCAGGATCCATGCTGTTCGCTTACAAACCCTATTACAAGTAGAGAAACTGATAGCAAGCAGCATGTATCCTGATCAGACTGCGCAGGCTGGTCTGGATCCATGCTGGTCGCAAACCCATTATGTTGGTTTTGTCGTGACGTGGCTCAATTATCGTCAAGCGTCCGGATTCAAGAAGTTAAATTCGTTAATTGCTATGCTACGTACGTTGATGAACCCTCTCGTATTTGTTTACTATCCGTCTCAATTACCGTCTCAATTACAGTAAAACAAACAATATCATTTACACTGGGGTTACCTTACGGTGAAGTCTTTATATATTTAAAACAACCTGAAAAGTAAGACGAGATAACAAAGTCGGGACGCACTAGCAATTTTCCGGTCTTTTCCGTCATGTTTCGATATCTGTGACGGTTACCTAAAGACTCAGAATGGTCAATCCGCGTGTTTTTTTTTTGTTGTTGTTTTTTTGCAAGCAATAAGCAATAAGCTTGGAAAACCCTTGATTTTCATTTGGATATTGAATTAACTTACATATGTTAGAAGGACCCCAATCACTCGGAACACAACCGATTACATAAAAATACAAATCCACTGTATCAATGTAACAAAATGAGCCGAAAAATCGCGTTTCGGATTTCTATCTGATTTAATAACAATGAAGTCATTAAGGTAAAAGTTTAAATAACCGCTTAAAATATATAAAATATTATTAGGTATTATATGCTTATTGAAACTAGGACTAATATAGATGCATAATAATGAGCATTGCCTCACTCAATCTATTTCAATAAATGTCACTTATTACTTATTGGCAAAATACCCATACATATGTTTACCATATATTCTTCCAAAAAATCAGGTTGTTCTTTTTTCATTTGGAAGGGTATTAATAGTCTAAACACGGTTCTTTACAGGGTGAGTGAATAAAACCTCATATGGGTAGTTAGATTCCGCTGAGAGGCTTCTCACCAGACCAGTGGGAAGTCGGGTGTTTCTCATGCCTATATTAATGCACAAAGTGCGTCCGTGGCCGATTGAATTTTTTGAGGAAGCTATCCAGGCATCTTGCTGAACGTCTTCGCTTTTAAAAGTCAGATGATTGTCCATGTCAGAGGGACACCTGACGTGTTTTGGTGCGACGTAAAAGTTAAACCTAATAATGCACAGTTGACATTTGCTGCCGTCCACCACCATATGGAAAGTCGCAGGGTAAAGTGTGGGGGGTTTAGGTTTTTTTTCAAGTTTTCAATTTTTCAATATATATTCAATATTTAGAGCAGAACATTTCTAACTAAGTCCGTGTCACGTTATACTTATAGGCCTAGAGAAAGCGGAAACAAAAAGATTGTATAAATTTTTTGCACCGCGTTCAGGACGTGTTCACCACTACATGTATTTGAGACGAGACGATATAAGCCTATCAAATATGGCGTTTCGATGAAAAGTGATTTTAGTGAGAGTGACGAAAATGGCAGAACATTTACGATGTTTCATTATTATTATGCTGAATATAGTTCGGACATATTTATTGTGTCAATGTTACATGTAATATTTATTAATATTCATAAATTCAGAGAATAATGTATTGTAACGCTATGATAAATCGCATCCGCAACTACTCGGCCCTTCCCGTCAGTCTTCGGATAAGGACCTCGAAAACAATAGCATGAATACACAGAACGGTTGCGGTATTTCGGTCTAACCTACGCTAAGAAACTAAACAAGTAAACAAATAGTAATTTAATGCTGGGAGTTGATGACAAGTTTATTTCCAATATATGTAGTAAAAGTCCACCTTAAATAAGTGAATTCATATACATTATTTATATATTTATTATT